GTCATGAACAAAACAGAGAAATTACATGTATTGTTCCTAAATGGTCACTGAATAATTGTACAAACAAACTGGTGAAACACTAGGGCAAACCTAGGTCCCAGAAACTAATCCCTTTGCAAACTGCATTAAATCAAAGTCCATGTTAATGTGTCAGAATCTGGTAATGACTTCAAATACCGCAATAGCTTGCACCTGTTACAGAACCTATTGCTCCTGAAATGCCAGTAATGCGGTAGATTTGCTACTCGAGCTTTAAACAAATTCAAATACACCATACCTGTCAAAAGTGCATATATCTTATGCTTCCAGAGAGCTAGCATGGACGTCTTGAACGTTGAAGTGAATCAACAGCCTCTGCAAGACAGTAATGACTTGTGTAAAGTCCTGCCATTATATAGTTCTGAATTGAATAGATGCTAACACAAAGGCCTTGTTTAGGTAAACAACCTGTTGTCAGTCGCCGCACAGTTTACAATTTAACATACCAACCGCAAAAAAATAATGTTGTTAAATGGTGAATTCACACTATTCCGTAACTACAAGCACAAGTCAAGAACACGAAAAACATACCGTTTATACGATTTAAATGACAGTATAACATGGAGGGTCGTTCTCAAATTCCATGGTATTGCATAGTCACGCCATTATCGTATTGACGTGTATGCATGCAACATTACGCTAGGCAAACAACATGCTTTTGTTTCGATTGAAAACATTCCAATTGTGTGCCATTTAATGAAACATATGTTAAGTAAACAATCCAAACAATTAAAAACAAGTGTCATGGTGTTGTCCAAGTACGCCGCATCAAGCTCATATTGTTTTTTATAGCATATATTATATGTTTCACTAGATACAATTTGCCGTAGCCTCGTTATTTATGAGGTATATGAGAGGAACAAGATTATTGAGTTTACGCTGATATTGCCTGGCAACAGTCCGGGTATTCTGAATATGCTATTTCGATGCATGTATTATTTGGTGTAGACAGACAATGTATGAATAGAGACTAGTGTCTTGTCAAAGAAAACACGTCTTGAATAAGTATTGATGAAAACAACCTTTGTTTGGTGTGGGCAGACGTTTGTTAATACAGGTATTTACTAGTTGACAATACTAACATACAAGCACAAACAGTTTCTTCACATTCACACATTTCAGACGCGGAACGCATTCAAGTGTCAATTGAGATCAACCTACAAACCCACTCTGCATTACTCACCTCCCGGGGGTCAGACAACTATTGCATCCCGAATGAGTTTTGATATTCAGGTATTCTCTTTTACACAGTGTTCTTTATTTCGCCATTTCGTTATTTCGCCGTGGCGTTCGCTTCAGGCTGGTATATGGATATGGCCTTTGGTTTACAATCAGGTGGCTGATAGTTCAGCGTGTTCCGTCCTGTATATTTGGACTGTACACTGTGATTCTCTCCTGCAAGATATATATATATATATATTTCAGACAATGTCATTGATTTTTCCAATATGTTTGTTGCTATTCCTTGCTTTGCATATTGTGTTCTATTCTGAAATTACACTATTCCGTAGCTACAAAAACGAGTCCAGAAAACTGAAAACGTTCATACGATTTAAATGACAGTATAACACGGAAGGTCGTTCACAAATTCACAAATGAAGTCACGCTATTGTCGTATTGACGTGTATGCATGCAACATTACGCTGGGCAAACGACTTGCCTTCGTTTTGATTGTGTGTCTTTTAATGAAACATATGTTAAGTAAACAAACCAAAAAATT